ATACTCTTTTGTTCTCCTTTCCAAAATGAACTTCACATTTTCCCTCATTATACTCCATTTGCCGAATTATAAACAGGTGTGGTCCCAGCACTGATCCGTATGGAATTCTACCAGTTAAACGTCACCAACATGAAAAAGAAATCCTTATCCCCATGAAATAACTGCACAGAGGCCTGTATCCCGTCACCAAGTCACCCTTTATTTACTTGTGCACAGTAAACTGGCTGTGGCCAGCCAGCTCAGAGTCAGCCCCCTGAACTGTTTATATTGGTCAGCCAGGGATTTCCTGATTGGCCCAGATTAACAACCCTAATCAAGGATCTCAAGGTCAACAAGATCCACCTGACTCCAATCACTACATCCCTTGCACCACCCCTCCCCCTCCCCACGCCGTCACATAAGTCTGGGAGTGTGGGCTTGGTCTTTCTCTTGTAGCTTTTCCTGCATTATTGTTGTCCTAGGTCAGGTTCCTTTGACTTGGACTCTAATATGGGCTGCATGTACTGGACTGTCGTCTGTCTCTTGCATCTGAAGCATTCCAGGGAGCTTCCTCCTCTTCTTCTGGCAGTAATGATATCGAGTCTGCATCCATCTTGGACTCTGAGGTTTCTTCAACACGAAATGGAGGGGGAGAACTTATAATTTCTGACAGGCCTTCTGGCTGTTCTGAGAGGCTAGGTACGTTTCGCTCCTGGCCGGTTTGCAAGGTAACAGCTTTCAAGTAATTCATGTGCTTATTCAGGACTGTATCACCTACCCAAACTTTGTAAGTGATGGACCTGACCTTGCATCAACCTCACCTTGTACCCATACAGAGCCATTTCGACAGTTGCAGCACTGGACTTCATCCCCTGAATTAAATTGTCTTTCTTGCTTGGAGGAGGTACGTTGCATTGGCGTTCCTGCTGCTGTTTCCACACACACACACACACACACACACACACACAGGTAAATGACATTCCATTGTCCATGACCAATACATCCAGGACTCCCATGTATTACAATTGATGCTCGCAGCTTCTCAGTTGTCATCCCTGAGTTTGCTGAATGACTTTACGCATGTCCAACCACTTTGAATGGGTGTTAACAATGACCAGGAACATTGAGCCCATGAAAAGACTGGTATAGCCGACATGCAACTGAGTCCAGGGTTTACTCAGCACTTCACACGAATGTGGGCAGCGCTGCTGGTCACAATTTTTGTCCTTGTTGGAACTCTGGGCACTGCCCCACCTATGCAGCTATGTTGGCATCCAACCCTGGCCACCAGACATATCTTCTTCTAGCATCTTCATCTTGAAAGCCCCTGGATGACCCTGGTGGTGTTCAGCCAGTTTCTGGTGGCAACCTTTACTTGGGACAATCAACCTTGCTCCCTCTAGTAATATGTTGTCCTCTACAGCAATGATCTGGTCTTGTTTGTTCCAGAAAGGTTTCAATCCTGGTTGCAATGACTCTCCTGTTTCCCCCATTACCACCAGTTCTTTTAGTTTCATTAGGACAGGATCTTTTTGTGTCCACAGTTGGATATTGTCTACAGTGACTGCGAGGGTGTCCAGGAAGTTTAAAACCAAAACAGACTCTTCCAAGTTGATGGCCTAGTGGTATTATTGCTGGCCTGTTAATCCAGGGACCCAGATAGTGTTCTGGGGACCCAGGTTCAAATCCCGCCACAGCACATGGTAGAGTTTGAGTTCAATAAATGTCTGGAAATAAGAATCTAACGATGACCATGAATCCATTGTTGATTTGTCAGAAAAACCCATCTGGTTCACAGGGAAGGGAATTTATGTGTGGAGCCAGAGGAAATGAGCAAGGTATTAAATGAGTACTTTGCGTCAGTATTCAACATAGAGAAGGACTTGGTGGATGATGAGTCTGGGGAAGGGTGTGTAGATAGTTTGGGTCATGTTGAGATCAAAAGGGAGGAGGTATTGGGGATCTTGAAAAACATTAAGGTAGCCAAGTCCCCAGGGTCTGATGGGATATACCCCAGAATACTGAGAGAGGCAAGGGAGGAAATTGCTGGGGCCTTGAGGGAAATCTTTGTATCCTCCCTGGCTACAGGGGAGGTCCCAGGGGATTGGAGAATAGCCAATGTTGTTCCTTTGTTTAAGAAAGGTGGCAGGGATAATCCAGCTAATTACAGGCCGGTGAGCCTTACGTCAGTGGTAGGGAAATTATTGGAGAGGATTTTTCAAGACAGGATTTACTCCCACCTGGAAATCAGTGAGCGTATTAGCGAGAGGCAACGTGGTTTTGTGAAGGGGATGTCGTGTCTCACTAACTTAGTTGAGTTTTTTGAGGAAGTGACAAAGATGATCGATGAGGGTAGGGCAGTGGATGTTGTCTACATGGACTTCAGTAAGGCCTTTGACAAGGTCTGTCATGACAGGCTGATACAGAAGGTAAAGTCGCACGGGGTCAGAGGTGAGCTTGCATGATGAATAAAAAACTGGCTCGGTCATAGAAGACAGAGGGTAGCAATGGAAGGGTGTGTTTCTGAATGGAGGGCTGTGACTAGTTCTGTTCCTCAGGGATCAGTGTTGGGACCTTTGTTGTTTGTAATATATATATAAATGATTTGGAGGAGAATGTAACTGGTCTGATTAGTAAGTTTGCCGATGACACAAAGGTTGCTGGAATTGCGGATAGCGATTAAGACTGTCAAAGGATACAGCAGGATATAGATTGGTTGGTGACTTGGGCAGAGAGATGGCAGATGGTGTTTAATCTGGAAAAATGTGAGGTAATGCATTTTGGAAGGTCTAATCCAGTTGGAAAATATATAGTAAATGGCAGAACCCTTAAGAGTACTGATAGGCAGAGGGATCTGGGTGTACACGTACACAGGTCACTAAAAGTTGCAATGCCGGCGGAAAAGGTAGTCAACAAGACATATGACATGCTTGCCTTCATCGGCCGGAGCATTGAGTTTAAAAATTGGCAGGTAATGTTGCAGCTTCATAGAACCTTAGTTAGGTTGCATTTGGAATATTGTGTTCAGCTCTGGTCGCCACACTAGCAGAAGGATGTGATGGCTTTGGAGAGGTTACAGAAAAGATTTACCAGGATGTGGCCTGGTATGGAGGGCATTAGCTATGAGGAGAGGTTGGAGAAACTTGGGTTGTTCTCACTGGAACGACGGAGGTTGGGGGGGTACCTGATAGAGGTCTACAAGATTATGAAGGGCATGGACAGACTGGACAGTCAGAAGCTTTTTCCCAGGGTGGAAGAGTCAGTTACCAGGGGCCAGGGGTTTAAGGTATGAGGGGCAAGGTTTAAAGGTGATGTACAAGGCAAGTTTTTTTACACAGAAAGTGGTGGATGCCTGGAACTCGCTGCCAGGGAAGGTAGTGGAAGCAGATACAATAGTGACTTTTAAAGGGCGTCCTGATAAATATATGAATAGGATGGGAATAGAGGGATACGGTCCCCGGAAGGGTAAGGGGTTTTAGTTGTGACGGGCAGCATATTGGTGTAGGCTTGGAGGGCCGAAGGGCCTGTTCCTGTACTGTAATGTTCTTTGTTCTTTGTTCTTTGTTTACTTGTTCACAGTACGCTGGCTGTTGCTAGCCAGTTCGGAATCAGTCCCCTGAACTGCGGAGATTCTAAATTTCCTGTTCATATTGGTCAGCCATGGCTTTCCTGATTGGCCCAGGTTAACAACCCCAATAAAGGATCTCCTAGTCAACAGGATCCACCTGATTTCAATCTCTACACCCCACTTGCTATTCCTGCCCATCAAACAATTTTCTATCCATGGCTATATACTACCTGCAACACTGTGGGCTCTGAAGACTTCATTTTTTATGAGATATCTTGTTGAATGCCTTCTGGAAGTCCAAATACAACACATCTACTTGGGCCCCCTTTATCGACTCTGGTTGAAACTTCCTCAAAAATCTCCAATAAATTAGTCGACAGAATTTTCCTTTCTTGAAGCCATGCTGACTGTGCTTGATTAGATTGTGTTGTTCAAAATGTACTGCTATAAATTTCTTAATAATTGATTCCAACATTTTTCTGACAATAGATGTTAGGCTAATCGGCCTATAGTTACCCACTTTCTGCCTCTCTTCCTTTTTGAATAGGGGTGTCACATAGGATCCTAGGATGCAAACCACCAAGGCAAGAATATTTATCCATTTTTAGCCCCATTAGTTTGCATAATGCAACTTCTCTAGTGATGTTGATGGTACTTAATTCCTTACCCCCGCCCTTATTCTTTTACAGTAATAGGATGTTTGAAGTATCTTCAACCATAAAAACTGACAGAAAATAGCTGTTTAAGTTCTGTGCCATTTCTGTTCCCCATAACTATCACTGCAAATTCGTTTTTTAAGGGGCCTTTGTTCATTTTGACCTCTCTCTTCCATTTTATATGTTCAAAGAAGCTTTTATTATCAGGTTTTAAATTCCTCACCACTTTTCAGGGCTAGTTTTCAGGGCTAAAACTGACTTTTGCCGACTTCTGTGCTTTTCTTTCAACTTAATACTGTCTTCCTCAGTTAGACATGATTAGTTTACCCCTCTGTTAGAATCTTTCCTCCTTACTGGGATATATTTTTGCTGAGAGTCATGACTTATCTGCTTACATGTTGGCCACTGCCTGCTTTCCTGTTAATCCATCCAATCAGTACTCTGTAGCTAAAGCTGTCTTCTTTTTATTGTAATTCCCTTAAGTTAAGCCCAGTTGTTGCCTATTCAAGTTACGCAGTTTTAGACTGAATGTTAAATTTGATCATGTTATGATCACTACTTCCTAAGGAATCTTTTACTCTGAGGTAATTTATTAAACCTGCTTCATTGTCTATTACCACATCCAAGATATCCTCTTCCCTGATTGGCTGCATCATGTATTGATCTAGGAAACTAACCTGAATGCATGCTATGAATTTGTAATTGTAGCTACCATTTCTATTTTGATTAACTCAATCAACATGAAAATTAAAATCACCCATAATTTTTGCTCTATTATTTTTATTTTTGTCTTCCAGCTCCAGTGGCTTCCATACTATGATAAATGTATTAGAGATTCATGTGGTTGTGAACTAGTTGGAGATTGCGATTGTCTCTGTGATGCTGTTGCAGCCTTTGCTAAGGCATGCTTAGATGCTGGCGTTTGCATTGATTGGAGAACACCTGACTTTTGTCGTAAGTTTTAAGATCAATGTTTGAAAGATTTCCGATGTATCAACATTAGGTTTTAGTATTTTTGTGCTAAAATATATTTGGATATTTATATTACACAATATACTAGAATTTATTAATATTTTGATTGTATTAGATATACAATAAGGAAAAATAGTTCAAACGCATTTCTTAAAGATATTAGCTTTTGTTAGCTTTTAAATGAAAACCTCACGCAGTATAAGAGATTTCCTAATGGGAACCCATTGCATTTTGCATAATCTTGAAAATGACATGCAAGAGAAGATAGGAAATATAGATTGGAAACAATTAATCAAGCATTAGATAAGTTGCTTGCTTCAAACCATTGAAATATCTCCAGTAGGTTTATTGACCTGAAAGGTCTTATTTAGATACCTGTGCCTGACAGAGGTGATTGGTACTTTTATGCTGTATCATGGAGTCTACTTCAACTACGAGAACAGCATAACCTACTATAGGAAATATGATCACAGATTTGAATGTTTTGTCATTAGATCTTTCAATGAATGCTTGTGCGATTTTTCTCACTGTAGCCACAAGTATCTGACAGAAGGCTGTCAGTTTTTCTTCAGGTGCTCTGTGCTGTTTATTCGTTTTTCAGTTAAAAATGGAGCATGAATTTTGGATGGTATAGTTTCCTGTCCCAAAGTATTGTTGAGAAATCTATCATTGCCAGTGCCAGGTGTTCCCCAGTCATTTAACGTTTTGGAATCTCAATTGATGGAGGCGAGACTTTCGCCCTTCACTTGGGAGGAAATCCCTCTTGAAAGAGCTTCTAGACATCCAATTGCCTTATAGCTCAGTAGATTTAGTAGCAATACTGGAAGTGGTGGTACTTCTGGAATTACATGAATTCTTAACAGTCTAGCCACAGCCACAAGACCAGATAGGTGTGGTCTTTTGCAGTAAGGAACGGAGGGTTAGTAATGGGGGTGTCTCCCTTTTACCGACCTAAGGCGCCAGTAAGGAGATCTGTTGAACTTTCCTCCACCCTCATTCCCTGACTCAAGATTGCAGTCAGATTGGAAGCAGATCTAAAGTGAACAACTGGCCTCTTAAGGACTTATGTTGACACAACCTGTCCGTCTTCTCTCCCACCTATCCGCTCCTCCCACCTCACTGACCAATCCCCACCACTGCCTACCTGCACTCACCTATCACCATCCCACCTACTTTCTCCAGCCCCACCCCTCCTCTCTCTATTTATTTCAGAGCTCCCTTCCCTCTCCCCCAGTTTTGAAGAAGGGTCCTGACCCGAAAGGTCAACTTTCCTGCTCCTCTGATGCTGCCTGGCCTGCTGTACTCCTCCAACTCCACTCTGCGTTATCTCTGACTCCAGCATTGGCAGTTCTTACTATCTCAAAGTACTGGAATTCTCTCCCTAAAGGCATTGATGATCTACCTGCAGCACATGGAGTGTGGCTCACCACTGAAATAACTCCACAGAGGCCAGTATCCCATCACCAAGTCACGCGTTAGTTACACATGAACAGTCGTTGACTTTGGTATTGCCTCTTTCAGAGTCAGGCTTCAGAGTATCAACGAGGGCTCCCTGATTAGACCAGGTTAACAGCTCCAATGAGGGAACTCACACTCTGATATCCAGCTGGCTGACCTCGTCACAATCACTACAACCACCTGACCCAGCCAACTACATTCATGTTCCACAAGCGAATAGAAAAAAATGATTTGGATTTCATAGCTTATGAGTTGGTAGAAAGTTGAAGTGAAGTGTTTGATTGCTGTCTTGACAGGGTCATCTCCTGCCTGGGCCTCAGCAGGTGGCTGGTCTCCAGGATTCCTCTGAGTGTCAACTGCCTGGGCTGTTTCTTCCTGGGTCAGGTGTGGAGCCGTAACAGTGAGATGCTCATCAGATCATTTTCCCTAATTCTCTCTCACAGAAGTTCCCACCAAGGTGTCTGCATCTGGGCCGATGGGGTAGCAAGATGCAGCTTGCCAATGCTTCCTCTGAGGCCTCTGTACTCTTGTCAGAGTTTGAGGATAGTACTTGAGCCAGGATTTTTGACACTGAAAATGAGGGTGTGCTTGTGGAAGATGTAAAACGTAAGAGAGAGATGACCTTGTGAACTGTAATTAGAAGTGACGCCTAACAACTGAGAGTGATAGTAGGTTATTGGGAGAGTTGGTGGTATGCAGAGAGGTACTTACATGTTTGGTGGGACATGGACATTTCAGCATTCCCTAGGAGTGATCCAGTCTTTTCCTGTGCGGACCCAAAATTTTCTCCTCATAGGTGGTGTGGAGCCTGATATGTGGCACAATTCCACCCATCCAACATCTGTCTGTCCTGCTATGGACTGTCTTCCCTGCTTGTAAAAACAGTTGTTAGTAAGTGAGATGATGTGGTGCATGTGGGCAAAAGGTGGTGAGATGTATCGAAGGACTAAGGCGGCAGCACACGGGGCATACAAGGTCAGTAGTATGTGAATTTGCATGAGGAGAGCAGGTGAGTGAAGATTTGCAGGCAACAGTGAAGATTTGCAGGCACCATGAGCCTTGGTAGAAGGTACGCAATGGCACTGATAGATTGGGTATGTAGTGGAAAAAAGAACTGTATGATACTTAGCTTGGCTGAGTGGAGGAAGTCACTGACCTTCTCATGAAAATTCCTCTGCACCTGGAGACAGCACTGAGCTGGGTGACAACCTCAGACCAGACTGGCAAAGTCTGGTGACATGGCTTCCTTTAGTAAGGAAGAGGATGGCCCTCTTCTGTGCCACCTCATTGACCAGGACCTCCAGGTTCCTGTTGGAGAATTGCAATGCCATCTTCCTCTTGTCCAACATCATGTGGACACATCCTTAAGCCAGCAGGCAGTTTCAGAATGTCAGTGCTTATCTGAGTACACTGTGCAGTTTTAGAGATGGCACAGGTGCAAGGGATGCCTGTCTTTGGTGGATATTCACCAAATACTGAGTTATTGTGGGAAGGGTAACAGGTAAGATGGGGTGGAAATGAAGCATGAGAGACTCCATAGAGGCATGGTAATCTTTTAATGCAGCAATTTTGCTAAGATACAATGCGTAAACTCTTGTGCCTTGTAGCAACAAATCCTCCAAATGCAACTAGGACTTGGCCAAAAGCAATTAAGTTCAGTCATAGATTGGTCCATGGGAGGAAACATTCTCCCAGCATCTAGTGTGGCAGTCCACCTCAGAATCTTATATGAGGCTTTCCAAACCTCAATGAGTACAGGCCCAACCTGCTCTAACAATGCATCTCATAATTTTATAGACTTCTATCAGGCCTCCACTTGGCCTCCCCAGTTGAACAGAAAACAACCCAAGTTTTTCTAGCCTACCTTTTATAGCTCATGGCCTCTAATCAAGGCAGCATCCCAGTAAACCTCTTCTGCACTCTCCCCAGAGCATCCACATCATTCTTGTAATGTGGTGATAAGAACTGTAGGCAATACGTAAGTGTAGCCTAACCAAAGTCTCATAAAGCTTCAACATCACATCCTGACTCTTGTACTTACTGTGACCAATAAAGGCAAGCATGCCATATGCCTTCTTTACCACCACCCCCTCCCTACCCCCATCTCCTTGCGTGGCCATTTTCAGGGAGCTATGGACTTGAACCTCAAGATCCCTCTCTACATAAATGCTCTTCAGAGTCCTTCCATTAACTGTATACTTTTCCTTCACATTTGATCTCCCAAAGTGCAGCACCTCATTTAACTGGATTAAACTCCATCTGCCATTTCTCCACCCATATCTGCAACTGATCTGTATCCTTTGACAACTTTCTACACTATCCACAAATCCACCAATCTTTGTGTCATCTGCAAACTTACTAACCCACCCATCTACATTTTCATCCAAGTCATTTGTATATATCACAAACAACAGAGGTCCCATTATGGATCCCTACTGAACACCACTAGTCACAGACCTCCAGCCTGAAAAACAGTCTTCAACTATTACCCTCTGTCTTCTATGGATAAGCCAATTCTGAATTCACGCGGCCAAGTCACCATGGATCCCATGCATCTTAAACTTCTGGATAAGCCTACCATGAGGGACCTTTTTGAAAGCCTAACTAAAATCCATGTAAACAACATCTACTGCTCTACCGTCATCAATCACCTTCATCACCTCCTTGAAAAATTCAATCAAGTTAGTAAGACGTCACTTGCCCTCCACAAAGCATGCTGACTGTCCCTAATCAGGCCATACTTTCTCAAATGTGTGTCAATCATATCCCTAAGAATTGTCTCCAATAGCTTCCTGGTTTGTAGTTTCCTGGATTATCCCTACTGCCTTCTTGAACAGAGGAATGACATTTGCTACTTGCCAGTCCTCCGGGACCTTTCCAGTGGCTAGCGAGGATGCAAGTTCTTGGTCGAGGCCCTCAAAATCTCACCTCTTGTGTCTCTCAAGAGCTTGGGATAGATACCATCGGGTCCTGGCGACTTATCCACCTTAATGCTCTTCAAGAGATCCAATTCCACGTCATTCTTGATCTCAAAATGCCCAAGCATATTAGTATGTTCCACACAAATCTTACTACCCTCCATATCCTTCTCCTGGGTGAATGCCGATGCAAAGTACTCATTTAGGATTTCACCCAAATCCTCTGCCTCCAAGCACAAGTTCCCTCCTTTATCCTTGAGTGGTCTTACTTTCTCCCTAGTTATATTATGGGTAGAGGGATAAATTGGGAATGCAGCTCAGTGGACCCTATCCACAGGTTTGCTGAGATGATTGTTGTGCTGATCAGTGTGCTGCTCTTCTGTCTTTTTTCTCATGTACTGTCATCAGTTTACAGGATGCACAGGGTGGCCGGTTCCCACATATAAATATTTTTGACTTATCAATTAAAAATGATAGTGTGCAGCAAATGGAAAAGGAAATAAACTGGCTATTTTCAGTTTTGAAATGCTTTTTACTGCAGAGCAAAAACAGGTCCCTCGCTTCCAAAGGTCCAATGGCTTTTGCCGAAACATTCATATCCCCAAA